CCGGTTCTCATGGGTCCGTGACGCCTCCTTCACCATCTACATCCTCCTCCGGCTTGGCTTCACCGAAGAGGCCGACGCCTACATGGAGTTCATCAGCGACCGGTTCTGCACCTCGCGCGTGGCCGATGGTGGGCTTCCCATTATGTTCACGATCCGGGGCGAGACGGACATTCCCGAGCGCGAGCTGACGCACCTGGACGGATACCGGGGCAGCAAGCCGGTGCGGGTGGGTAACGGCGCGGCCTTCCACCAGCAGTTCGACATCTACGGCGAGCTCATGGACGCCATTTATCTCTACAACAAGTACGGCAAGCCGATCCACTGGGACCTGTGGTGCTCGATCCGCGAGATGCTCGACTACGTGCTCACCATCCTCAACCAACCGGACATGTCCATCTGGGAGGTGCGCAACAACAAGCAGCACTTTACCTACTCCAAGATCATGCTGTGGGTTGCCTTTGACCGCGGCCTGCGCCTGGCCGAGAAGAGGAATTTCCCCTGCCCTAACCGTGCCAAGTGGCTCGAGGCTAGGGACTCGTTGTACGAGGAGATCATGGCGAAGTCGTACAACAAAGAGATGAAGTGCTTCGTGCAGAGCTACGAGAACCAGACGATCCTGGACTCGTCCATTCTCATCGCGCCGCTCGTGTTCTTTATTGCGCCCAACGACCCCCGCTTCTTGAACACGATGGACCGCATCATGTTGCCCCCCGAGAAGGGCGGTTTGACCAGCACCGGCCTGGTATACCGTTATGACACCGAGCAATCAGAAGATGGTAAGTCATCACCATAACCCCCCCTTCCACATCACTTCATTTTCCCCCCCGTCTCCACATAGCTAACACGAACCCGATCCAGGCGTCGGAGGCCGCGAAGGTGCCTTCTCCATGTGCACCTTCTGGCTCGTCGAAGCCATGACGCGCGCGTCCGTCTACGAGCCCAAATACCTGGTGCGCGCCATCAACCTGTTCGAGAACATGCTGTCGTTTTCCAACCACCTGATGATGTTCTCCGAAGAGATCTCGCGCTCCGGCGAGCAGCTGGGCAACACGCCGCAGGCTTTTAGCCATCTGGCGCTCATCAGCGCCGCGTTTAACCTTGATCGTGTAAGCGAGTTTGGTGCTAAGCGATGAGAGCTTTGAAACTTAAAGAGAGGGGTGTTGTGTTGTGCATCTGGGTTGATTTGGGTTGATTTGGGTTGATGATGGTTTATGATGATATGAAGGATGTTTTTGTTTGTCTTTGTTTTCTGCTTAAAGGAAGCGATCTGCTGCTGTGCTCTGCTCTGCTCTGCTAGCATTTTACCTGATCTCCAAGGTATTCGCTGACTTTGAGAAAACTCAAGTGTCGGGATCACTACTCCCGCGATTCACGCACTCGGGAGTTTACACTACTCTAGGTAGTTAAATCCCACGCGAATATGGCGTTGCTGATACATAAATCATTACCCAGTGACGCTTGTTGACCGAAAAAAATAAAAAGAGATGCGTGGGACTGCACGCTCAAGCAGTGTGATATTGTATTCACAGACATTACACTTGACAGATATTTGAATGACTGATTGACACATGTGTTCTCTAATTCGGGGGGTACACCAGACGAAAGTTGAAAGTCGTGATATCAACATGCCGTCTTCATTCTATCGCTTTCTATGCACAGCATCCATAACGCCCCCGTAGTTATTTTGAATGCACAAGTATCTCAATACGCAAGGCTCCTTAACGCCCAAGAGGTAAGGTGAATGATAAGAAAGTGAACCCAGCCAAGGTGATCAACCAAGCAACTTCAATCCGCCCTTAGTCTTCTGCCCAGGCTTCGTCACTCCACCACCATGCGCTGGCCCAAGATGCGGCTCATACCCGCCGCCAGCACCACCAGCACCACCACCGCCGCCTCCACCATGCCCATCACCACCGGCACCCATCCCGCTCCCGCTCCTCTTCTCCTTATTATGATTATTCTTCTTGTCCTTCCACTTGCCACCCTTCCGATCATCCTTCATCACGGTCGGCTTGATCTCCGTCTTGGCCTTGTGCACCACCACGGGGTGACTCTGGATATACTTGCCGTTCATCTCCTTGGCCGCCTGGAAGAAGTCCTCGGGATCGCTGAAGCTGACGAACCCGAACCCTTTGCTCTTGGTCGTCCGCTTGTCGCGCACCACTTTCGCCTTTTGCACGCTCTTCCAGCGCGAGAACGCCTTGAGGAGCGATTCGTCTGTTGTTTCGCCTGCTAGGTTACCGACAAAGAGACGCAGGTGCGAGGGATCCCACTCCAGAAGCGTGTCGTCTGTCCACTTTTTGCCGCCGCCTTCGCGCACTACCGTCTTCTTCTTCTCGCCGTCGGCGCCGGTTGCGCCGTTGTTGGCGTTGTGAGCCGCGTAGGGGTCTGTTGTTCCTGCTGCCGCTGCTGCTGCTGCGGCGGCGGCGGCCGTTGCAGGATCCATCGCTGCGCCGTACGCAGCTCCGTATTGAGCGGCGCCAGCTCCGTAAGCTCCCGCTCCACCGCGCGCGCCAGGGACGTTTCCAGCGCCAGCTGCCTTATTGTTGGCGCTGTTGGGATCGTTGGAGTCTTTGGGCATGTACGCGCTCTGCCACGCCGCTATCTGGGCCGCCTCGAGGGGGTCATAGTTGGCATCATGGTGATGACCATGGTGGCCGGCGGCGGCGGCGGTCGGCGCGGCGTTCGGAACGGGGAAGGGGTTACGTATCTGAGGCGGGGTCGAATAGCTGCCGTTGCCGGGGGTGCCGTAGCCGTACGCGGCTTGTTGCTGGTAGCCCGCTGCTTGGGGGTAGCTGCTGTATGTTGTGTTTGCTTGGCCGTAGCCACCACGACCGCCTCCTACGACGGGAACGGCTGGTTGACGAGCACCGTATGGGTTGGGCGCGCCATAGCTGCCAGGCGCCGCGGCGCCGAGGGTCGGGCCATAGCCGGGAGGCGCTGCGTACGACGAGGTTGCTGTCGCGGTTGTTGGGGGCGCGGAATAGCCTGGGGCTGGAGATGGAGATGGAGATGGCGCGGTGCTGAAGGACCGCGCAGAGTGGATCGCGGGCTGAAAGGCAGGCTTGAAGCCGCCCGTCTGCTTTGCTGGTGGCGGTCGGGGAGGCAGCGACGGATGGGTCGTCGGGTTCTTGGAGACACCTGGAGGACCGGGGTACGACATGATGAATTTCTCGCGCCGACAAGTAGAGTAGAAAACAACTTGGTTCAAGTCTGTTTTTTTGTGCGTATTTCACGTACCTGTGAGCCCAGCCCGGCAGTGATATGCGCTTTGCGGTAGGTAGGTATCCTCCTGTAATCAAGTGCTATCGGGCTTGTCCGGTCAAGAGTTGGCTCACGAGAGTTGCAGGCAAGAGATCGTAGAGGTGTGTGTTGTGGTTTGGCTGTCGGGATCGCGAATTCAATCAGGCACGGACGTCAGCGGTTGATGGAGAAGTTGATTGTCAGTGCAGACTGCAGCGAGGCCATGGACGGACGGGACGGGCATGGAAGTTCCATTTGTGGAGTCCGGCCGAAACTGACTGAACCGGATGGAGACACGGTGAACTGGAGACCGGTTGCCGATCCTGAGGTGAACTGTGAACCCTGACTTCAATTGCTTGGCAACCTCTCCAATCTGTCACACCCTGGACCGTGACCATCGTTGTTGTCCTCATCCTCACAGGTGCCGCAGTGCAGTGCCTTTCGGACCGATCAGCCACAAGCCAGGATTGTAATCTCCAGTATCGATACGTAATCAATCAGTTGCATGTGGCTGTGCTCTCATTGCAACTTTGCTGATGACGATGAACGAAACATTGGTGGCAACCATGGCAACGACACCACGGAATCAATTCAGTTCAGTTCCGAATATCAAAATCAACACCGTCGCCGTGACTGTTAGAGTCACACTCGCTGTGGTGGATATTTTGAGCACTAGACGGAAAACATCTACGGAGTTGACCCCCACGCCCCCACATATCCTCAGGGTTGGGTATGGAGCAGAGTAGAGGTGGGAGTCCAGCGTATTCAAGAGTGTAGTACTTGTGGGTTGTGGTACGGTTTGGGACTCTTTTGTTAACTCCTTTTTATAAAAGAGTAGGCAAAAGAATTCTGGGACAGTAAAATATTTATGAGATAATTTACTCCTAAAAAGTTATCCATTTTTTTACATAAACAATTTCTTAAAATTTTAGGAAAAATTGAAAAAGAAATATAATTATAAAAAAGAAGCTTTCAAAGTTGCATTGATTTTGATTAGGTGCGGAAGGAGAAATAAAAAAAAATACTTCAAAACTATACCTTTGGCTGCAGCTGTCAAAATGCGTCGCCCGTAATGATTGGTGGTTAATGTTGTACTAACAATTTCCTAGTGTTTTAGCGCCAATGCAGATTGTCTCAGAATATTTCGCTGTTCTAGAATTTCTAGTAGGGAGTTGAGAAAAGTCCCACCACCACAACCCCCAAGTAATACTGGGCATTTCGCTTGTTGTAAGATTGTACCGCAGCGTATCGCTCACCATTGTAGTGTACAAGTGCTCGTTCGAGGTGTCAGTGAGCGCTCTCTTGAAAGTTACCTACCGTGCGGAATCAATGGAGGGGCCGTGGGGAGCTGCCCCTCGTACAGTACGTGCCCCTCGTACAGTACGTGCCCCTCGTCTGGAGCTTTTACTTCGTCTCACTCATGGCCCCAACATCCAAACTTCAGGACCTCTTTGGGGGTCCGGTGCTGGAAATATGGAGCACCAATATCATATTCCGGGTGAGGCGCGAGCAGAAACCTTCCGAGAGGTCTTACATCTCTCTAGTGCAAGATAGAAAGCTCCATACTGAACAGGCTGAACTTCCATCTTTGGTTTCTGGTTGTCCCTAGGTTGCGGTGACTCCGCAACAAAGCAACAATAAAGCTGGGTAAGCTTGCATATGTTTTTGGCTGCCCGGTAATCAGATGATCCTGTGGGGGATGGGGGTCAGCGAAACGATGGAGATTGGAGATGTGGACAATTGACACGAGGAGGACGTTGGCTTGTTTTTATCTTCATCATTTGAACAAAAATCTATATGTGTTTCCTGCTGTCATATCCCGTCCTGGCGTGTCAATGCACCCGGGCCCAGCTCCATGAACAAGTGCCATTAAGTGAACGAGCCACCACATGATGTTTTTCTTACAAGAGCGGTTGCCATTCCATGGCACTCCGGGGTTTGCGTGGGAACGCTGTTTGGTGGCTAAAAGCATGCCGGGTCATCCGGGGTTGCCTACCATCAGTCATGCTTATGACCAGATATTAATGGGTGACTGAGAAACGGCTAGGTTGTAGAATGAGCAATCAAGAGGAATGTACGAAAAGTTCCCAGAGGCTATAAAAGGATACCAGCTGTTGTACGCGTGACCTCAAGTCTTTGTATTAAAGCTTGCCAAACATGCCAGGTGAGCAGCAAGCATTTGGGTCAACGGAGACCGTTTGCCGTAAAGGGTTATTTTTCTTGAATACCACAGGGTAAATGCTTCACGATGATCGTGCAGCTGGTGTTGGGACGGCTGGGAGCTTGGGTGTGATGCAAGGACCAAACCAGGGGGTGACCGGCGATGAACCTAACCTTTTCCGTCTGGGCCGTCCTAGGTTCGGAGGAGCATGAAGGAAGGACGGGATTGCGAAACCGCAACAGACTAAAAACACGCTTTGACAAGGGTGGATGGGGGGAAACTTGCAAATATAAAGACAAAGTTGCCGTCCCTGTGCTACTTCAGTCAACTTTTCGTGTGCTCGACGGACATGTCTAGCGGCTGGTTGTACATGGTAAAATGACAGTTTAATGACCTCCATAAACATTACCGATAACCCAGAATGCTTGACAGTCAGAACTGTTTTCCTGGGTACAAATGTATGATGCCGAGAATGTATATCTTGCCGAGCTTGCCTCACGTACCGGCTCGGTGCACACTGGCATCAAAAGCCAAGCTCCAGGTCGAAATGGTTGACCTCAACGAAGTGGTAAATGTGTGGATCGATTCGCACCATTTGAGGTGTCGGGCTGATCCAGACCAACAAATGGGATATGGGGCCTTCCGATCCCGCCGCGGGGGTTTTTCTGAGGCAGGACGGCGGAATTATTTCTTCTAGGCACACATGTCCAACGGGAGAAAATGCCGGCTATCCATTCTGCAGCTGTCATCGCAAGTAGATCATGTTTGGAAAGGATGAAAACCCCGTTCCACTTCTCGTTGGGATAAAAAGGCGGATGGTAGCGGACGGACAATTGCGCACTCGACTTTTCCTCCCGTACCCATGATAGGTATTGGATAATGCAGCGAGGCAACGACAATCTCGGCTGGGTGTCTGTCTGTCTCTCGGTGGGTGAAGTGTCAAAAAGTGAGGTATCCGGAGCGGACGACAAAGAGTGGAACTCGTGTGCTAATCGCCGGTCTGCAACTAAGGATATTCTAGCGAAAGGTACAGGCCAGGATGATGCAGGGCCTGTTCGGATTTTGGATGGGTTTCCACTTGTTGCAAGTAGTGACATTTTAGCTTGCCCGCTACGACGCTGATTGACTCCCCATTGACCCCTCCGAAGTCGAAGGCTCCAGGATCCCTCCCCAAAGTTTCGTCATTACCTCAGCTCGCAGGTACTTTCTTATTTGACCCCCTCCTTCCCCCCCCCCAATTGGAAATCCCTCTCCGTTGAGTAATCTCTTCTTCTCCAACTCAATTCATCTTGTCTTTTGCTTCTTCTTCTTCCAAACAACCAAACGCTTGAAGAATTTCGTAAACCAAGTTATTCTACTAAAGCTTACAAGATGTCTGGACCTGTGTAAGTCCTTTTTACTACCCCGCCTCCCCCGCTCTACCCGCGCGTCAGTGTTCTCTGTTGGAAGCCCTCGATCTTACCACGACGCGCATTCTGCGAGTTCTCAAGAATGTGGCTCGGTATCGATGAGGGCCCCCTTCAGAGAAACGAGAGTTCTCTTGCAAGAAACCAGAGTCCTCTCGCCATGATGTGTGACCGGGAGAGCTTGCTTGTCCTGTTTGCCCTGCATACCAACTGAGTGCCTCCAGCGCTCGCCTAGCGAACATTATTGTTGGCGGAGCTGTGATGCCGGGCTCCCGGTCCCAATCCCAAAGTCAGACAAGTGCTAACAATGCTCCAAGCGCTGATATTGGCCTCATCGGCCTGGCCGTCATGTAAGTTACCTCTAATGCTCGTCGAGCATCCCCTCAACCCTGCCTCGCTGGGCCTCGCTAACGTGGTCTGTGATAGGGGTCAGAACCTGATCCTCAACATGGCCGACCATGGCTTCACTGTCTGCGCCTTCAACCGTACCGTTTCCAAGGTCGACGACTTCCTTGCCAACGAGGCCAAGGGCAAGTCAATCGTTGGTGCCAAGACCACCGAGGAGTTCGTCTCCAAGCTCAAGTCCCCCCGCCGCATCATGCTCCTCGTCCAGGCCGGCAAGCCCGTCGATCAATGGATCGAGACTCTTCTCCCCCTCCTCGAGAAGGGCGACATCATCATTGATGGCGGTAACTCTCACTTCCCCGACAGCAACCGCAGGACACAGTACCTTGCCACCAAGGGCATCCGCTTCGTTGGTTCCGGTGTCTCTGGTGGTGAGGAGGGTGCCCGCTACGGCCCTTCGCTCATGCCCGGTGGTGATGAGGCTGCCTGGCCTCACATCAAGGACATCTTCCAGTCCATTGCTGCCAAGAGCGAGGGCGAGGCCTGCTGCGAGTGGGTCGGTGACGAGGGTGCTGGTCACTACGTCAAGATGGTTCACAACGGTATTGAGTACGGTGACATGCAGCTCATCTGCGAGGTCAGTTGCCCCAAAGCACTCCCTGCCATACGTGGCTATTGAAGCGAACGAGTAAAATGATCTAACTTTACATGGTACAGGCTTACGATATTATGAAGCGCGGTCTCGGCCTCTCCAACAAGGAAATCGGTGATGTGTTGACCAAGTGGAACAAGGGTGTTCTCGACTCTTTCCTCATTGAGATCACCAGGGATATCATGTACTTCAACGATGACGATGGCACTGCTCTCGTCGAGAAGATCCTCGACAAGGCCGGCCAGAAGGGTACCGGCAAGTGGACTGCTGTCAACGCCCTTGACCTGGGCATGCCTGTCACCCTCATCGCCGAGGCTGTTCTTGCTCGCTGCCTGTCTGGCATCAAGGAGGAGCGTGTCAAGGCCTCCACCAAGCTCGAGTTCGTCGGCCGTGCCAACAAGTTCGAGGGTGATAAGGAGCAGTTTTTGGAGGACCTCGAGCAGGCTCTCTATGCTTCCAAGATCATCTCTTATGCCCAGGGCTTCATGCTCATGCAGGAGGTATGTGGATGCGCGAAACAGACCGCTACTGATGCTTGATTGCTAACGTCTTATGATCAACAGGCTGCTAAGGAGTATAACTGGAAGCTCAACAAGCCTTCCATTGCCCTCATGTGGCGCGGTGGTTGCATTATCCGCTCCGTCTTCCTGAAGGACATCACCGCTGCTTACCGCAACAACCCCGACCTCGAGAACCTTTTGTTCGACGACTTCTTCAACAAGGCCATCCACAAGGCCCAGCCCGGCTGGCGTGATGTTGTCGCCAAGGCTGCTCTCCTTGGTATTCCCACTCCCGCTTTCTCCACTGCTCTCTCGTGGTTCGATGGTTACCGCACCAAGGATCTCCCCGCGAACCTCCTCCAAGCTCAGCGCGACTACTTCGGTGCCCACACCTTCCTTATCAAGCCCGAGTACGCCAGCGAGAAGTACCCCGAGGGCAAGTACATCCACGTCAACTGGACTGGTCGTGGCGGCAACGTTTCCGCTTCCACTTACCAGGCATAAAGGAAGGGGTGTGGTATGGAATGGGCACGATATGACGGTGATGAGACGATTTAGACATAGGAAACGGTTGCTTCATTGTTTTGGCAACTAACGAAAGGGTAAACACGCAAGATGCATGAGCCATGATGCCCATTTATGGTATGAACTGGAATTAAAAGGAGGTACTTTAGCATGAATTGGAATTCGATTTTTTTTTTCTGAGAGCGAACAAGAACCATGATGTTGTACCGCAGTGAAGCTCCAATGCACTCTGGATTATTTGCGATGCCTGTCCATTCAATCCTACTGGGACAGAAGACCAGCCACTGCCGGCGGCTCAGGGGGCAGTAAAGAACGAAACCGATGAGACGGACACTGCGTGGGCCCTCGTATCATAGCGGTAAGCCCCTGGTGAAGTCTACGTAGGCATACAATAAGATAGTGTTTCGTCGTCCTCCACTGGATGTCCTCTCCATGCTATCAACACGCGGCCATCCTCTCGAATAACAGTGTACCTCCATGCAACGGTTTTGAAATGTGACTAAGACAAGGCCGGCGAGAGCCTTGAGTCAACATGAGGCCAGCGACAGTCCTTCGGTTTCGTAGCGAAAGATAATTGAGTGGTTCTGTTGAGATGCCGGTGACCATGAGCTTTTGGATGGAATTAGATAGGTTGGGCCAGAAGGCGGTCACGTGTCGCTGTACTGTAGTGGGGCACACATGCTGGTCTGTTGCCTGCCGCCATCACTGGTTGGAACTTGCCCGACTGCGTACATTGGCAGTTTGGCACGAGCTTGGTTCCTGAACGTAAAGTTCCCTTGTCGATCCACGAAGCGCGCAACGCCCCGGAAATCCACCTTCAACCGCGACGGGACAAGGCACATCGTTTTCCAATCATCATCCACTACAACATCCGCTATTGGCTTGATAATACCAGCTATACTTCCAACTCCCCGGACTGAGATGTTTGCATAGGAATAATCATCACTTTCCAACATTTTCTCTCCCCCACAATCCTTGTATTTGACCTCGACCAAACACCACAATGGCTGGCGACCCGAGCCAGAACGTGCACCAGGACTTGGTACGGTTCCTCGACAGCATCCGTTTACATTTCCATCGTTTTTTCTACTGTTACATCTATACAAATGACTAACACAAAGTTCCCTAATAGCTTCCTCATGTTCACCTCCTCTCAACTTACCGCTATGCTTTCCAGCCTAGGGTCGAACTACCAGAGGTCACAAAGTGGTTGACGGCCGCACCCAAGATCGCCCGCGACACGGCTCCATTCTTTTGGACATACCTCGATTGCCCCAATGATGGATCCATATACCTGACGTGGCAGCCTTCCGGCCGTAGAGGTGTTGAGTTTTCTAGCGATGGATACATATGGTCTGGTCCAGAGATCTTCTATCATCAACCTGCCGGCAACGGCTTGGTATGAAACCCCCCCATAAGCTTACAGCGTTCCTGAGTGTGTGAGTTAACTCTATGGTAAAGGTTCTCGAGGCTTACATCCAACGATCGGGATTCAGGCCAGGGGAGCAGCACACGGTACACTCTCGAAAACGGTTTCGCCTTGTTCCCGGCCCAGCGCCAGTGCCGAATGCACCGCAGGTGGACCCTAACCTCTGGATTGTGCATTACGGACCAGCGGACAAACAGGACAGGATCCACGTACAAATGGTTTCCGTGAGCCCCCAGATGCAACAGATGATCAATTATCGCCAGCAGCTCTTTCAGATGGGCCAGATTGTCAAGAAGGAGTTCATGCTATCGGATCGTGTGAACTGGCCACAACTTCCCCTTCCCGGCCGGGGTCAGTCGATGTATGCCCCGCCAATGCCGCCTCGCCACATTCCTCCGACAATGGCGTATCCTCCGCACCCGGGTGCGGTGGCTGGCTCATCCAAGCGCAGAGGTGGACATGGACAGGCACCGGGAGCTCATCCGAACCAGATGGCAGGAGGCCAGCTGCACAACTTGGAAGGCGCTTTCGATGACGAGGAGGATGTGTCTCGTGGCGACCTTTTCGACCACCTTACCCCACGCGAGGTGAGCATCGCTCGGTATCAACAGAATCACGAGTGGATGGAGGAAATCCTATCTTCGCCCTACCAAATTGGCCAGATAGAAGTGTCCGATCTCGGATTGGGACGCAAGGGTGCACTTGCCTCGCTGACAGAGGGTATCTTCGAAGCACAAAGCACCGAGGCGGTGGATCATGGGCCCAAGAAGCCTTATACCGGACACTTGGCCCCAGGGGTGGCAGATGAATTCCGCAAGCGTGTGATGGAGAAAAACAAGGCCGACATGGAAGAGATCGCACGGATGAAGGCCGAACATGAAAAGGCTCTAGCAAGCCTTAGAAAGAATTCGACCCTCATGCAAGCAGAACAAGAATTGCGTTTTGCAGCTCAAGAAACTGGTTCGGAACCTTGGCGCCTTGAGGGACGTCTCGAAGATGACGAGGAGGGCACTAGCCGACAGGGTCAGAGAAACGCTGGAACGATTGAAGAGATTCTCGCCAGCGTTGAAAAGCTTGTGGGGAAGCCTGCTACGGTTGTCCATGATGTTCACCGAGTTGAGGATGGTGGCTACCAAGAGTCAGCTCCTGAGCCAGAGCCCATTCTTCCACCTGCAGGACAGGCTCCTTCCATGTCTCGCCAGCCATCACAAGCCGGCTCTCAAGCTAGCGGTGCGATCATTGGCGATTCCGACATTGATATGGGAGGTACAGCAGCCGGTCTCCTTGACCAGATGAACACCGCCGGTGGTTTCTCGACAACGTCAACCCCTCAACCTCTGAATCTTTCAGCAAATCCATCGAGTGCTGCCACCCCTTCAGCCCCCAACGTGGCCTCACCTCTACCACCTGCAGGCAACCAGGGTGGTGATGACATTAATATGGAAGACGCAGACGCAGGAGCCTCAGCGAAGGTTGCAACAACAGCATCCGATCAAATACCCACTGCTTCTAACCCCTCGGGTGCCACTACTGCCTCCGTCCCTCAGCCGCCAACGACAGCTGGTAACAGCGATGCTGCTGGCGTTGCCGCTCAGCAGATTACTCAACCGTCAAGTAAACCCGCATCAGCGGCGCCCACCCCATCAGGCGAGGGTATTGACTTCAGCTCACTAGGTGATCTCGATACCGCCGGTGAGGCCCTCGCTGGCTACGACCCTCCCAGCGTTGGGCCAGGTGGCGATGACTTGGGAGATTTAAACATGGATATGGAGGACTCTGCGTTCGGGGATGCCTTCCACGGCGTCAGCCATAGTGCCGGTCCTGACCAGTCCTCTCCCGGGGCTGGGCTTGGTAGCGCCGGGAACACTCCACCTGTCTAGGCGGCTACTGGTGCCAACGCTTCCCTGCATCTAGCGCAGCAAACACAGCAGAACTTGGAGGTAGGAGATCAAGGTCTGGCACATAGGCATGGTGGTGCAAGAAGAACTTATTGGACCGAGGATGACGATAAAGCCCTCCTAGAAGCCCATTTCGAAGGGCGCAACTATCTCCAGATACACGCGGATTTATTTACTTCCCGAACTTATGCTGCGGTAAGGACTCGGGGGAACTGCCTCATAGTCGACTGGACTGCCTGGCAAGACCGGATTCTGCTTACCGGTCAGTCCGAAGGGCGTAGCTTTGAAGATATACACAGTTCTTTTCTACCCTACAAAACCGTTGACCAGTTGAGGGAACGACACAGTGAACTAAGTCGCCTACAAACCAATCGTCCTTGGACTGATACTGAGGATGATCAGTTGCTCAACGCAAGATGGGAAGGGAAGAGTTGGGCAGAGATCCAGCACACTTTCTTTCCCTACCGAACCCAATGTGCAGTGAAGTCGCATTATCATAAATTTATCTAGGCAGAGGAGCCTCGTTAGAGCAAAATACCTTGCTCCCTACCTTACACGTTGCGCATGGAAGGATCTGATCCAGTCTGAAGATTTAAGCGGTGGTACAAGTGATCTGGTGTTGGACTTGGGCCTGCTTTTTGTTTTCTAGTGACTTGTTGAATGGTGGTCATTCGGGATCAAGATACTCAACCGTATCAGCACCCATGTGTGCTCATTACGGTTTTGGAACGCTGTGGGGATTGAGGCGGGCATTTGGTATAGGGTAGCAAGGAATTGTCTTTCTTGAGAAGGAGATACGGTAAAATAGGAACATGACTTGGTATACATTAGTCCATTCATTCGTGCACTGTTTTCGCGGTTCCGTGTTTTACGTGGCTCAATGGTAGGTAGTAGCGTTTTGATCCCGTGCCATTACTTACCTCTTGCTTACCGTGCAGGTATACGATGTGTACCTCTACCCTTGACGAAGCTGGGTCCCACTTTGCAATCGTGTGGAAATCAGGAAGCATATTATGGTCGGTACTTAGTTTTCTTCTCTTCATCAATTTTTAGCAGCACGGAACGTACCATTTGGTAAGTCTGTGGTTTTTTTTGAACTAAGAGAGTGCATTAGTACTTGTAAGATTACACTGCATTTGTACTCACTTACAGAGGTGTTCTCATTTCCCAACCATAAACATTAACGCATTCATTCGTTCATTTATTCGTTCGTCATTGGTAAGTAAGTGACAATTTCAAGTGGACTTTTCTTCACCTCAACGAACGAGTGACATCCCCAAAGTGGGTCGGCTTTCACACATATTATCCCTTGGTGTTGTCCAGTGCCATGGCCTGGAATCCCAACCTAGAACTAAAGACTCACTCCGGGACAGGATAGAGGCAGGCATAGATACCTCTAAGTGAGGCCTGCCAGACCGCCCTTGACTCGACTCAATATGTTTGTTATTCTATCTTCCATTTCACTTCAAAAACCAAGGCCGAAGACCGTCTTATATGGAATTAGGGGTCAGATTACGGTGTTGAGTAGGTAAGTAAAGTAACAAGTGGACTTCCACTGCCCTGTTCGATCCGAGCAATCGATGAGACTCCAATGCAGCGCAGCGTAGTTTTCGCCAGGTCACTGTGGGATAACTTACAAAGATGACTTTCTGAGCATCACGTTCTGGAGACTCCTCGTTACAAGTCTGAGTATGTAGTTGACGTTCTTGCTTTATACAATAAACGGAGCTACAAATGATGACGATATGGAATGTTATGTCAAAATTACGAGTGCTGTGGGTTGATTGTGTCTGTGTAGACTAACACTTGGTAAAGTACCAGTGCAATTCCTATACTTGTTGGCGTGAGCAGGCTCCATGTCGTCTACCAAGCTCCATCCCATGTTTTCCGGCGGGTGTCGTGCCGTGTCGTGCCGGATCGTATCGTTCTCTTTATTTATGGCAGTCTTGAGGTCCATGGTGAAATATCATGAGTCGCTTGAAATGCGTATAAATGAGGTAAGTCTGCCAAACACTTTCATCTCCATGGACAGAACAGAACGTATTCGTAAGTGACCAGCAGCGGCTCAGGGGCACGGGATATATGGGCTCATAGTCTTGCCAAAACCACCGAAACAAGGTATCATATCCATTTTGTGTTGACTTTTCGTCAAAGTTCATCCGGCGGATTTCATTCAGTCGGCACTGCCTCTATGACACATTTTTACTTGTGTACTGTTTCGTGCAGTTTTCCCCTGCCGGACCGGCCCATAGTAACTGATTTAACAAGCCCTCAAAGCAAAAACCGCGCCAGAAATGCCCAATTCCGAAAAGCCCCGACCCTTCAGTACTCCCATAGTCTGCATTTAGAACTTGGAGAACTTCTTGACGGACTTGCCGGAGCGGGGAAGAACGCGGAGAACATTGAAGCGGACCTAGAAAGCACATCGTGTTAGTCTTGCCGTAAAACACACAAAACACGGCCGGTTGATTGCTCGAGATGGCCTGACGGGTTTGGTGGTCCGCGCTAGATTTCGAGTTCTTTCCTCGCCCTCTGGAGAGATTTGGATATCGGGAGTTGAACATACAGTCTTGGAAAGGGGACGGCACTGGCCAACGGTAACCTGGTCACCCTCCTCAACACGGAAAGCGGGGGAGACGTGGGCGGCGAGGTTCTTGTGGCGCTTCTCGTAACGGTTGTACTTGGGGATGAAGTGAAGGTACTCGCGGCGGATGATGAGGGTACGGTGCATCTTGGTGGAGACGACGGTACCGGTCAAGATACGGCCACGGATGGAGACCTGGCCGGTGAAGGGGCACTTCTTGTCTGTAGTAGTAGGCAGTTCATATCAGCCATTCGTTCCTCCTTCTCGTCTTGTTTCGGCCCTTCGTCATATCGCCCTCTTCCTTGCCGTCAACCGCTGGCCTGCACGTGCTGGTGCTTAGTGTCTCGAATGCCGTCTGTCTTCCGTTTTCGGTATTTCGTGGTGTCGCATGTTTCGTACTCGTCGGTTCGCATTTCGCAACAAAAGCCGGCGGGGCGGTCGAAGGAAGAGTCGAGCTGATATGACGGGACGTTCGTTTCGCGGGTTTCATCAAAAACGTACCGATGTACTGGCCCTCAATGGCAGCAGCGGGGGTACGGAAGCCCAGGCCGACGTCCTTGTACCATCTGCGACCACCCTTGCCGGGACGGGCAGACTTGACCTTGGTCTTGCTGTTGAGGAAGACTTGAGAAATCGAAGCTTGTCAGCGCGCCCAAATTCCCCATTGTCGTGTTTTCCCATCAATTTCCTCCCAGGTGCAAAAACTCACTGTGAGGCTGCTTCTGGAAAGCGCGCTCGCTCTGCACGGTCAGTTCGGTAGCCATCTTGCCGGTCGGGTGATGCCCAAGATGGTGCTATGGTACGTGAGAGGTGAGGTTGGCAAGAAGGTCGAAATTCCACGGGGCTCACAATTTTGCCAGTTGGGATATTTTTTGGGGCTTGAAATCCGAAAAGTGTGGAAGCGGCGGTGCAAAGCCACACTTGGGCCGCCTTGACCACCAGGCCTCTCTGCCGGCACAGCAAAACTCTTCCCACTGAGGGGTATCTTGGCGCTTGAACGTCCAGCGATCGCACTGCACCAGCCACAGCTCCAGCCACACATGCCTTGCGCGCTATCCACTTGCGGCTTGCTGATGGTGGGACATGTCAAGAACACACTGCAGTCCGCCAGTTACGACCACTGGAGTTGCTTGGGCAGTTTGGGTCGTGAAACAGCGCCCTGGAGTCTTGTGTTTACGGCGCCTTTCACCCCTGCCATTCGCGTGTTCGCTGTTGCCAAAGTAAACAGTCTGCCCCGCTGCGTGAACGGGACCCTTGCGGCTGGAGGAGCCTGGACCTGAAGGTTGGATCTGAAAGGAGCCCGAAGATTGGGAATGTCATGCCGAAGCGCGCCCGCCGTCCAAGTCGCGTCCAATTAAGCACCCCCGAAAAGAACGTGTAACCATACAATCATTCATCGATGCCCGTGCGCCCCATCATCTGTCGCCCATGATCAACGATCATCATATACGAGACTCCAATTGAGAATTGGGGAGCCAAACCCGTCAACGGCAGAACTCGACATGACGTCGCAACAAGATGTTACGCTTCCTCCCACGCGCATCCCGCGCAAATCGATAAGCGGCGGCTCACCGATGAAGAAGAGGGCAGAGAAGGACAATGCGACCGTTGATATCGGCGCTATGGGCGCTGGTCGCAAGAAGATGAGGAGTAAGAGCATGGGGCCGGGCAGTCTCGATATTCTCAAGTCAGGCAATGGTAATCGCAGAGCCGTACGTCCACCAACGCAACACCACTGAAGCTACCAGTGCCGAATCTGTAGACTTGATGATGCTGATGGATACTATACTGTAGTCTTTGGCCGTACCATCACGACCGCCCCCAAGGTCGATTCTCAAGCCGACTTCGCTCCCTGAAATTCCCACCTTCAACACGTTCAAGTCGCGACAAGCAGGAAGCAGCCAGGTCGGCGGCACCGATCAATCGACGAGCTCATTCGATAGCGGCGAAAGCGGGACCAAGGTGGCAGTACGCACTGAGGAGGAACAACAAGCAGCTGCGCGAGAGCGCGAAGAAAAGGAGCGGGCGCAGATTGAGAAGCACAACAACGAGCGAAGGGAGGCGCGCAGAAAGTCGCTTGCCAACAGGAGAGTGTCATTCGCCGCCGAAGCCACCCTGCACACATTTCACGAGATTGAGCTTCCCCAAGATTCGACGACATCTACCGATACAACACGCCGCGCATCATCTTCGACCGCGGCCCCGTCCCCTGCTCCCTCGACTTTGGAAGCTTCGAAACCACCGCCCTCTCCCGATAACGCCGAAGACGACACCATTGCGTACGACTCCGACCTTGAACATGCCGATGGCGTTGCTGAGATTCAGGCGGAGGAGATGACAGGGTCAAGCGATGACTCGGATGTTGAGGATGGCACTATGATGACGGTTGAAGCAGAAGAGATGACCTCGGCATCTATAGCAACACCGCGCTCGTATTTCAGCGCAGACTCAAGTGGAGACTTGGACGAGAACCTACGACTTGCAGCCCGACAAGCTGTAACCCAACGACTGGATGAAGATGAAGAGGTTATCGCTGGGTTCGCAGGATGGGGGAAGAAAAACAATGCGCAGGGAAGCTCAAGCCAAGGCAATGGTCAGAACACCCGTTCCAGTTTCACACAGGGCGACCAGGGATCGGACATGGACATGGACGCGGATATGGATATGACCACCGCCGTGGGTGGCATCATCCGACAGAAGAGTTCATCGCCAGAGAGGGACGATGGCGATGACATGGACATGTCGATGGACGTTACCAAGGCAATAGGCGGAATAATCGCACAACCAATATCATCAACCGTTCAAGAGCTTGACGTTGGGCCCGGTACCAGGTCGCTTGGGGATCCAGCGTTACTTGGTGACGGAACCATGGGACTTACAACGGCAGTGGGGGAATCCGACGCAGTAGGGCTTCGGATGCGAGCCAGTTCGATACAGATGCTCTTGAGGACATGTCGATGGAGATAACTACGGCAATCGGTGCGGTGTTGGGCGGGACCTCGTTCGGAAACGCCCCTCAACAACCTCGGCCGACGACAAACACCGGGACGAATGACGAAGAAGACGACGCCTCGATGATGGATATGACCGTCAGTGTTGGTCAAATTCTACGCGACAGGCCCTTAAATGAGGCAAACGACACCCAAGCGATGGACATTACAACGGCAGTTGGTGGTATTATCAAACCAATGCTAGCTCCTCAGCAGGGCTCGACAAGCCAAACGATCACAGGGCCCACAGCTAAGGAGAATATCCGTCCTCTGACGTCTACGGCTGTGATTCGAACTTCACCTAAGCGGCGGAGGTCGGCGGTTGTAGACGAGAATGGAAGCCCTGGTCTTGCTGGTCTTCAGAACAACAATCTTCGCCAAAGTTTACCGCCTGCGAGTTCAGCGGTAGCAGGGGGCCTGTCTAATGATGCATCAAGCTCGCCATTACAGAGTTCGCCGTTGAGGAGCTCGCCTACCAGGATCTTGCCTACTCGAAGCTCCCCGGACAGGCGCCCTCTTGCAAGGCAACAATCACCAGATAAAGCGCCAGAGAGACAGCTGGGCACTCCAGTTTCAAAGCCTCCACCTCGAATGATTGGGAGCCGATCAAGCTCACCTATACGCGCTGCTTCGCCCAAGGTGAAAACCACTCCGCTCAACCTCAAGTCGAAGCTTTTCCGCCAGGATCCTTCCACTGGGCTCAACACTCCCCGCATTGTGTTGACTCCCCAGAACCGCCGCCTCTCTGGAGTAGGCGCTGACCGACCGGGATTGGGCTCGCCCAAAGTTGCAGAAATCATCGATCGCCGAGATTCCATCGGAGAGACGGCGCCCGACTTTGTTCCCAGTCAACCCGATGGCCAGCGTCGAGCCGTGGCCTTCGCGGACCCTCGTGTAATGGAAGCTGAGCTTGACAAGGAAAGGCGAGAGGAGGAAGAGAGAGAGAACAGTCGGCGGATCTTGGAGCGAGGAGCGGATGGCGAACGAGATGCCACTGTCAATTTGATGGAGATGATTCAGGGGCTTACCCCCAAGAAAAAGCCTTTGCGTGGTCGAAAGAGCTTGGCGGTAGGAAGTGCGAGAGGTCTTTTGGGGAAGCGACCTGTGGAGTTGGACCAGGATGTTGAAGAAGATACCCCGGAAAAGGATGGAGTGAAACGGTTGAAGGGACATCAAGGAAGCCCAGTCAAGAACATCAGGCTACAGGCGCATCCGTCTAAAGCCGAGACTACAACGGGCAGGGAGACTGTCTCCGAGTCTATGGACCAAACGAACAACAATACTGTCACACCAACTATACCCTCTTCGCCCACAAGAGCGATAACGCCCAGAAATCAGGGTCGTTTTAAGGATGTTGCGAATGACCAGCCTACCATTACCATGGACTTCGACCACACCGGCCCTGTTGATGAGAATGCGGTACAGCAGGACGACGATGGGGAGCGCATCCACTTACAAGACTTTCTCAATATGACGAGTATTCGGTTTATGGAGCTCACTACGACTAAGCGAAGACACACTATTGCCCCAGGGGCCTCCCGAAACAGCACATCTGCGGAGGATAAGGATGTCACATTTGAGAGTTGCGTGGTGGCCGGTGCCTGTACGGTGCCTATGCTAGAATTGTATCAACATGTATGTCAACCTCACAAAGCAAAGTACTATGTTCATTGCTAACCATCAAACAGTCGTGTCGTGAACTGAAGAAGTACATCTCCGAAGGACGGCGCATTGTGCGCGACATCGAGACCGAGACCTTTGTCGAGAACCCACCTTTGTTTAAGGAGTACATCTCAGCCACTCCGGAGCTCAAGCTCCTCATGGATAACCAGTTCAAGAACGTCAAGAGCCACGCGCGGCTACTGAGCAAAGCCATGTGGTACGAATGGCGCATGAAGCTCCAAGAAGGGTTGAAAGAGGGACTGTTCAAGATTTCGGAGGGGATGGACAAGGACGATGAGCTTCTAGGAAAGCAGCAGGAGCTGTTGTCGTCGGTCCTTCCCGGTCTGACCAAGCGATACGGTGCTCTTGAGCGCGAGCTAGAGAATCTTGAGGATGTCGAAAGGGAGCTTGAGGATTGCGACCCTGAAGATCTCGCAGCTGCCCGGGCAGAGCTTTCAGAGCTTGGCAAGACCATTGCCGAGAAGAGCAAGAGGGTTGAGGAACTTCGCCAACAGGTCGAGGAATATCAGACCGGCGTTCAGTCCTTGGCTGATCAAAAACATCAGTGCTTGGAAGAGATCACGGCGGCCGACAAGATTCGGGAGGAGTGCAGAGGGTGGAGCTCGACGGAGATCAGCTCACTCAAAGGTACGTGTTCTTGTGTTAGTCAGATCCTATTTGCTGCAGATACTAACATGTCACCAGCACGCGTCGACGAACTGGAGCAGAAATCCGGCTGGGCCATCAACAAAATTGAAGGTTCGGTGATGTTCATGACCTACAAGCAAGAAATCGAGCTCGCCTTCGACTTGACCTCCTTCAAGGCACACAACAAGCAAGGACCCACTGTCGAGATCCGCTACATCGCCAACAAGCGCGAGCGCAATGTCATCCCCTTGACTTCCGAACAGAAATTCTTCATCGAATGCATCAGCAGCCATCTCCAAGGCTTATCAAATCCCTCTCTGTCCGTCAACCGGTTACTCACCATCGTCAGCGACGCATGGGACAAAGCCGGCGCAACAGCCGAGCAAATCCGGCTGCTCAACCTAACCTTTCCCACCAGCGTTACTCGAACATCCGCCACAACCCTCGAGGTCCGCTCCTCGCTGCTTTTGGCACCACTCCAAACTCGCGTCGAAATCTCCTTGACCCTGGACAAGATCTCCAGCGACGACTCGTTCGAAGTGAAAGTCACACCAGACGCCCAAGTCATCTACGGCGAGCAGTTCACCAAATCCAAGCTGAATGACTTTCTTAAGAATAAGCTCGGGAAGCAATTGCTTGGACAAAAGGCTGAACAACAACAGCAACAGCAACAGCAAGTCAGCGGCAACAAGAAAAAGCAGCAGTCCCAGGAATGGAGTGAGGTCGTGTTAGAGTTGCACAAGCGGCTGTTGGCCAAGGGTGCCAAGGCGGGGCATCATGCTGCACAGGCGCAGACACAGGCGCAGCAGGCGAATGGGAGTGCGAATACCATGCAGGGCCTGCAAGGACTGCAGGGCCAGGGGGTGGCGTTGAAGTAAACAAACCGACGGGAACTTTCTGGGCATTGGGGGTTTGGATGGATGGCTGTGTACGCTCTTGGGATGATGAACCGGATGTACAACTTGATGTCAACGCGAGAAATGGACGTTAGGCCGTATCGTCGTGTGTCAATCAGATGTTGAATTTGGATGGAATGGAACTTGGAGACTTGTACGGATGGGAGCTTGTACGCATGATGGATGTTCAAGTTATTATGGCTTTTGAGTAGTATGAGTATGAATACCTTGTTGGTATGGACGATACCTAGATACCCTTGGCTAGGCTAGATTACATGATTTTACTGGCTACTATACTGATCGTCCCCTGTGGCTTGGTTGATTGTGTCTTTGGTGTGTCTGCTTCTGAAAATGCGCAATGGCCATGAGCGCTTTCAGTTTGTGGATGTCGAATGTGTTTATGGACGACGGTTCTTTTCAGTTCTTCGGTTTGCTTTGAACCTGGTTGGGGGGTTTTATGCTGTGTACTTGCTTGCAGGGCCAAACCTGATGTATGTATACAGTTGGCGACGAAGTGGAATGACGAAAGAAGTAAAGTATAGTTCCGAGTGTTTAGCATCGTCACTGCCAAATATACTGCAGTGGTGATAACTATCAGACCCCTAATTTGACCGACTACACAGTAATTCTTATCATATCATGTTCCACCTCGTTCGGTTCGGTTGACTGAAGTCGAAGGTATACTGAATTTCTATAGTTTGGTTTTCCCATCTTAGCTGAAATCACACAGCATGGATAACAGTGATGATCAGGGACCATTTGTGAATGTTCAATGTGGTCATGATTGGCAAAAATAACGGCTTCAGCGCGGCTTCCTTGTCGACTCCGTCACCATAAGCGCAGGTCACAACATGTTTTTCTGTTTCACATATCAATTTTTTATTTTTTTTTAAATTCATGATACTCGCGTAGTCGGATCTAAAAGTCTCGCACAAATTATACCATGTGGGTGGGGAAGCACATCATGATCCCATTCTAAATTCTGCACATGTCCACATACTCGTCGCCGACTTGATCTACCCAGCCACACACTGTCAAACGGGCCTCAGGGTACATAAATGATGTTCGATGAAAGCCACATTCGAGACAGCCAAGTCGACATTTGGAGCGAGTTCAAGATGACCGGGTTGAAAAGCGGGCGTTGCAAAAAAAGAGAAAAAGGGGGACATGAACCAACGATGTTTATGCTAGGCGGCTAGCAGATGGCGAAACCTTCTATCGAACACTTTTCAGCAACCAGTTTGGTGGTCACACCATAACTCAAAGTAAACACATGAAAACTACTTGATATCCATATCTCCTCCACTCACTACCCCTTTTTTGCATTCACAGCTTTGTTTTGCGATACTGGTTTCGGAGTGTCATGATAGCACCGAAAACGCCAAGATATATCTCCCCCAGGTCATCGCAACAAAACACTCGATGAACACATCGTTGAGGAAGAAGTATGGATGCAAGGAATTGTATTGGAGGTAAAATACCCTTCTTCAACTGTAATTCATTGTTTTGTTCAAAGCAAATGCGAAAAGCTAAATGGTGAAGTGGGAGTGTCAAGGGTGTGTCGGAAAGGACTCACAGTGTCGCAAATTCCCACCATCACCATCCTTCGATGAAAATACCACCCCGCACATAGTTGTGCCCAAAATCCCATTATCATATCAGTTCTTCCAGAGTACCATGAATATTGGATTGTTTTCCTCATATACTGCCAAAGTCGGCCTTCTTGGCCAAGTTCGGTCTCGGTAAAGGCGCGGGCACCGGTCTCAACTCCCCTCGGACCATGTACGTCTTTGAGGATTGCGCCTTCCACTTGACCCAGGCCAATATCATGCCACATGTAATGACATGAAAGTTAATGGTAGTGGCGGGCGCAGGCAGACAACGGAATTCAACGTTCCTTCTTCTGCTACGGTGCAGTGTATGACGAGAGAGAACTAAATTAATGGCAAGCCCTCCATTGTTTGCACAATGAATGCTTGATGTACAAATGAAGCTGAGAACAGCTACTTTTTGCTATGAATTACGCGCGAAACTGTCACCACCAACACCATTTTGTTGTATTGTGATTGCGCATTAAAATCCTGTTTGCGCGCGTAGCTACACAAATGCCGCCGATACACTTTTCTAGAAAACCCCCAAAACATACCATAGAGGTTCGTTTTATACACTGCGTGCTTCTCATGTGCCGTGATCCATAAAGATGATCTTATTCCCAATGGTGCTTTGCTCTCCTTGTACCCTTCGATCACCGTATAAAGATTACCTCTGGTGAGGGGCTTCAAAGGCTGCGCTTTCTGCGTTCAGTGACGATGCGCCTCACCGATTTCTCATGTTGAAGGTCCAAGAAAACCACAAACTCTAGATATACCAACGATACCAAACTATTCAAACATAAAAAGATGCGTACTTGCCCTCTGTTCTTCTTGAAATGAAGTTTTCAAGACACACCATACCAGCACCGCCATTCCCTATCATCCAACTTCGCAGTTCTGAGCCTGACCTCACCCAGATTTCACTTTGCAATTCGTTATCTTCCACTCTCGATAGCAAGAACTGCAAAATCTCATGACCCATCGATAAGGTATTCAAACTACTGCGTCACCTGCACAAAACTACAAGCAGCTACCCGAGGAGTCGAAAGTGAGGCGCAGCAACCGTCAAGGTCCTCACCAAAACGGCACGGCTTGAATATGACTACAGTCTGCCACCACAGAGATACGCACTGGCCCGACTTATCGAGGTGAAGACAACTACCCGCGATGAACTGGACCGCTGAAAGTCTCAATACAGGGTTACGTCAAGCAAGCTGAGTATTACGCTGGAGGGGGGCTGCCTGGTCGTGGCGGGTCTTGACCACAACACACCAGTTATCCTCAAGCTTACATAAGGTATGTGGTGAGCAGGATCACTGCTCGAAGAATGATGGCAAAACCCTTGAAGCAGGACCAATATACGGAAGCACAAGTTGGAGCATGATTGAAGCGAGTGTGGCTGCTAGGTTCCGTGATGGTTAACCTGAATCTGTCTTGCTGGTATTCACGCGAGGACGTTGCTGACTAGAAGCCTTGCTACACAGACAGGCAGCCACTCCACTGAGCAGTCAACTTGCAATTCAAGCGGGGTGAAGACGAGGTCGACGTGAACGTCCTGCCAACCTAGGGGGTTTGAGATCTTGCCCCGCGGTCTAGACAGTGCCAGTCAATAAGTGAGGCGGACCAGAAAGTTGGGACGACGGGTACGGGTGATGAATTTCACGAGTGTCAACACCTGCCAAGAACCTTCCAGCAGTCCTTCACTCGACCGGTCTGCCCTTATCGTCAAGGTCGCCGGTCACTTGCCATAGCAACCACGGAGCAACCATACCTGTTGACCAACCAGAGGACGTTCTGGGACCGATTTCATCTCAACTCGGCCTCCCGTCAACATATCGGCCAGGTTGGCGCACCTTCCCAGTTTGATTCGAGTGAATGCCGTGGCCGCGCACACGGGTGAATTCTCTGGAGGGGTAGCTACTTTTAAAACTTCTCGCTCCCGCTCACTCTTCCTCCTCTTCCTCTTTTTTTTCCTCAATGGCATTCCGTCTTTTCAGGCGTAGTCACCATATTGCGATAGTTCAAGCAAGCCTTTGATCAGCAGCATTAGCAGCAACAGCAACAGCAACAGCAACAACAATCGTACCATCCTCGCATCGTGCGCGTACCAGCAAGATGGACGAACGTCTCGTCTGCTGGCCCCTCGTCGCCCTCTGGCTCCTCTTTGGAACTCTCGGCGGAGTCCCCGTGTTCCCAGTGAACTGGGCTTTGGATTGGGCCTGTGGCTTTTCCGTCCCTAGCACTTTTTGTGAGTTTTTGTCTCCTGTATAGCAATGACAGGCAAGTAGTGATACTATAATGCTCTCTCACATAGACTTGGTCTACACGTATGACCTCTCCTGAGTAAAGTCCCGTGGTTTCCGACATTGCCCCTGCTGCCCCTGAGTTTGACTACAGCCTCGTTGATCCGGAACTCGGCGATAGTCCAGAGGCGCCCGAAGTCCACACGGAGCCAGAGATGGCCGCGCCCTCGTTCACTCCTGACGTTGATGACGGAGCGGACAACGGCCCTCTGGTTCTCTCACCACCCTCGACTCCTCCTCCTCTCCCCGGCAACTTCACGGCGTTGACCTTCCGGCCAGCTCTCCCTGCCAATGCGCCAACTTTCGCGGCGCAGACCGTTCGGCCACGCACCCGGAGACCGGCCTTATCCTCTCGCAGGCCCGTACTGCCCCCATCTCTCCGCAGGCCCGCAGCGCAGCCTGTTTATGTTGATCCGGCTGAGGTGGAACAGATGGAGCTAAGCCATAGGTCCATGGAGTACCAGGCGAAGATTTCAAAGGGGGTCATGAAAGCAGCGGTTGCCTCGGCGAGGGTGCAGTCGGAGGTGCAGGCGGAAGCCGAGGGCCGGTAAGGTCCACAAAACAACACCAACAATTAAGACAGGAATCACAAGGCGGCAAATAAAAAGCATAATGGCATAAATGGCAATGAGTGGTCCCGGGCGGGGGCCACTCATTATACGTACATAAGTCCAGCTTTGTCGTTCTTAGAATTCCTCGATCTTTCGTTCGGTTGTTGTCAGTCTTGCTTACGTTTGATTTGAGAAGTGTGTTGTCTATCGGGATCTTCTTTCTCGCTTTTTCCCATCAGAACTGTCACCTGTTTTCTTCCCTTTTCCGACAATCTTCTACATCGATGACACACACTTCTCTGGCCAGCGGGCTTGACTTTAAACTAGAAGGGAGTTAGTTCTTTGTGCAATGATGGCAAGGCCAGTCATACCTGTCCTCTCATGATCATCGATCAACTACCCGAATATTCTCACTCTTGTATGTTCGTCACTGGAGGTCACACCGGGAACAGTCGACTACAGAGTTCTCTTCGCACAGTCGCTACTGGACAGCCACATCCGGGTACAGGTGCAGCGAATCTTTCTAATATCAGGTTTCTGGTAAGGGTGGGTAGGTTTGGCCAGAAACAGAGAGTTCAGCTTGCTGCTCTCCATATGTTGCAACCAAGGAGTCACACTTGGGAATAAGACAACCTGATATCAGCTCCGGTGCCTATAATCGGAAGCTCTCTCTCAACGATCTCTCGGCGTCTATAGTTGGAGACGTTACGTGTTTTCGGATCGACATTTTCAAAGACAAGCCCGTCACACTTGTCTTCATCCTACCAGCTTCACAATCTTCAACATTGTCACTATCGAGTCAGTCACGCTCACATTCGCCTAGTAGCGAATCGACAACGTTGTGTCAGATTATCTGTTGTTTTTTACTGTACGAGTTGTCATCTCGACGTTTTCAGATTATCATTCTTTATCAGCATCAGACCCAGGCATGTCTGCTTGCGAGTTCATTGTCACCGAGTACTGTCAAGTGTCAGCATCATTTTTCTTCACCAGACCTATCCACATCTTTCGGATTCATTGCAGCAACTATCTTATCTCTCGAAAAGGCGAACCAGCAGCGATGATATGAGACTAACAACATACCTACAACTTGACAACGAACGGATAATTTTTTTTTTGTCATCATTCTTCAACCAGGAAAAAACATCAAACCTCTGATAAAACTTGAAAAGGGAAAACAATCACCAAAAAATGTGCGAGTACGAGTACCATGACCTTTCTACAACTGTATAAGT